TGCCACAGCAACCCACTTAAATTCCTTACATTCCTCAAGTTTCACAAGTACCATCTATGATGAATTCTGTATTATGTTTGCCAATTTCGGCTCTTATGGTTAAATTCTTAAACTGCTCCAATGCTGTAGAACTGAACGAAAAATGGCCAACTAGCCTCTGGCACCAATTTAATACAAGTTCTTATACTTAATGTTACCTTTTTATAATTCAAACATCACTGTAATTAAAGGGTTTAGTGCATTCCAAGTCAAAAATTACCAAATGTTAATCTGGGTTTAAACTTAGTCATATTGCTAAGTAAATGATTAGATCACACCGTGATGAAGGAAAGAACCAGTCAAAGGGTGTAAGAGAAATGAGAGTTATTTACCACTGGATTACTTATTGCATCATTTTCTAACAGTAACTTTGTGAAAGAACTAGTTTGGAGTCTTGAGAAATTAAGCAAAAGACTAACTTGTTGGGGTTGATTTTGCAGGAAGTGGCTCTGGATTGCCTCTATTGGTTCAGCGTACCATCGCAAGACAAATCCATTTGGTGGGACTCATTGGTAAAGGCCGTTTTGGGGAGGTTTACCGAGGGGTGTGGAGAGGACAGAGTGTTGCAGTTAAAATCTTTTCATCTAGGGATGAGTGCTCATGGTTCCGTGAAGCAGAGATCTATCAGACAACCATGTTGCGACATGAAAACCTTTTAGGTACTTTGTAAAAGTACAATTATATTTGTATGAACATACATGTACATGTAAACATTTCAAAGGGGACTTGTTGTCAAGCAAGAGCCACTAATAAATTGTAGCTCAAGTTTTAAAGCATTTGGAGATGAGGTCTGTTGATCTGACTACACTGTTAACGTGACTTTCTGTCTTAAGCTCTGTTTCCCGTCTTTCTTTCTCAATTGATTGTTTTAATGACTCACAGTTCTACATTGTTTTTCCTCCCATGGACCAACTTAGTGTCTGACTTTCATTATTCATTTTGACTCAATACGTGTTAGATAATGGTGGCCTGGTGGTCTGCTTACTGCACTACTGATTGATACATGCAGAACCTCCTATCTCCTAGGAGCATGAGCAAATTGTCATTCGGAGAGACTTGATGAATGTCTTTCCTCCACTAGAATTCACCTATTTATTTAACATATTATGCATTCCCTTCTCTTTGTAACAATTTCTTTGTACATCTAGATCAGTCTGTTTATGATCTCGCTTTTCTCTGAAATGTTACTTTTCCTTCACAGGTTTTGTAGCTGCTGACAACAAAGATAATGGTGCCTGGACACAGCTTTGGTTGGTTACAGATTATTTAGAAAAAGGCTCTTTGTATGACTATCTTCAACTTGTTACTCTGGATGTTGAATCTATGCTGATGTTAGCAGTTTCAATAGCCAGTGGACTTGCTCATCTCCACATTGAGATTGTTGGCACCCAAGGAAAGCCAGCTATTGCACATCGTGACTTAAAAAGTAAAAACATTCTGGTTAAAAGAAATGGTAAGGGGAAAATCTTTAGAACAATTTGTGTTGTGTGGGAGATTAGTGTCAATAACTGTCTTGGTGACTTAGAATTTAAAGTGTTACAAGTACCTGAAGTTGTTTTGCACTTATACTACAATGTACACTAAAATCAGAGCTTTATCATGTATCATGTTTACCTAGCCTTTTCTCTTTTTTTTTTTTTGCATTTCATTGTTTGTACCAAAATGTTCATGACCTTTGGATACTGGTTTGATTTTTCTGCAGCCTAAGTTACAGTTATAAGGCAATCTACTGCAAAAATCACGAAGTATTGTTTCATCATTAGACAGTATTAAAGCATAAATTGTATATTGTTCTTTTCTGTAGGGACATGTTGCATAGGTGATTTGGGTCTTGCTGTTCGCCATAGTTCTGTTACTGACACAGTTGATGTTCCTCCTGGGAACAGAGTTGGAACAAAGCGCTACATGCCACCTGAATTTTTAGATGACAATATGCATGTGCGGCACTTTGACGCATACAAGCGAGGTGACATGTACGCATTTGGTCTTGTGTTATGGGAAATTGCAAGGAAGTGTGTGTGTGGTGGAATATGTGATGAATATCAGCTGCCCTACTATGACAGAGTTCCTTGTGATCCCAGCATTGAAGATATGAGAAAGGTGGTCTGTGTGGATAGGTACCGCCCTGCCTTTCCAAATAGGTGGATACAAGATCAGGTTTGTATTTTATCACTTCCTCTCAGTTGTTTGATTATTTCCTGTCATACCAGCTTCAGTTGTGTACATTGTATTTCCATCAGGTAAAAGGTATAACAACATTAAAACTTGTAGTTTCTGTTCCTCAGTTTTCTTAACTTTGAATAGTTACTTTCAACTTCTGTGCTGTGAAACAGTTTAATCACAACAACACAGCAGTCAAATGGTGATGCATGCAAAGGTAGAGTCAAGCAGCACAGATAATTTGAAATTGCAAACACAACCTTTTTTGTGGAGAACTGATGTGTGACTTAATTTTTTTCTTGTTTCTAAGGAAAGTTTCCAAGTTTTTCAGACTAATACTTATATACACTGTTATTCTGCACTTTCCCCTCTTTAGGGTAATTTACACTCTGATACTTTTTTTTGCACATTGCATGGTAATGTGATGAAGTCACCCTTGATCTTTGCCGTGCTGTTAGTAGTTTGTGTGTGGTTTGTTTTTTTTTTGGTTTTTTTTTCTGTATTCATGGTACAGTTGCTAGTAAACACAGAGGGAAAAGTGTGAAAAGAGAGGAACCAAGCCAAACAAGATATTTATGATGATTGCAGGCCTATGTGTATTGTGGACTGTAAAAAATAAGAGCTGCAGTGGTGGAGAAGGGTTCTGCCATTTGTCTGTTGACTTCATCACCGTAACAAATCGTTTGTGTTCAAAACTATTGGGATAAATCACAATAAAAAAAAGCAATTTTTCTACGTGTGTCCTAAGTATTGGAATAGTTAGAAACTTAACCTTTTCTTCCTCACTATACCCTAGACAGGTACAACTTATTGTTTTAAGACTCTTGCACATGTGCAGTGTTTGACCGCTGAGTTACATCCAGCAATTTTTGCTATTTAAAAAGGTTATTGAAGTGAATAGAATTGAGTAATCAGATTTGGTAGCAAAATTCCACCACCGGTTTCCTCATTCACTGTTACAATGTCAAACTGCATTACAAGTATACAGCATTTCCAAAATTCAGAAAGGAAATTGATACGTAACCTCAAGAATGTAATGTTTTAATTTTTTTGTTGTTGTTAGACACTACAGTCTATGTCCAAGTTGATGAAAGAATGTTGGTATGCCAATAGTGCTGCAAGACTTACAGCTCTGCGTGTTAAAAAGACTCTTACAGCACTGTGTCAGTTACATGATGTTGATATTATGGTGTAGAGGGATCCATCAAGAAAAATCTTGTACCACAAGTCTTAGATGTGTTTATCACTTGAGGACTTTGACAATAGGAGGAACTCTCTGATATCCTCCGGGGCAATGTGTAGGTCCTGTAATGGGATAGCACACGACCATATGTAAACGTCCTCCCTCACACAACTTGTCTACCAACACACTATTGGCATGGCTCTCATAAAGTTTGCAGTTCAAACAGCAATGCTACATGACAGAGATAAGGTATGATTTCTTTGTAACCAAGAAGTATTCCCGTTTTTGTCTTGTATTTATGTCCTTGGCATTGTCTAACCGTCCGTGGCACAAAGTGTTGGTACTCATCAGAAACAATGATCCTGACTTCTTTTTATGTAAGAACCTGAATACAAAGATATGCTGGAATTGAAAAACTGTTGAAAAAGACTTGCATTTTGATAACAACTGTACAACTATGTAACGGACAGGTTCTCCTTGGTCGTTTTTATATGTTTCAAATGGGAATTCAGAATAGAGCTGAATAGTTTTTAAATCGTTAACATTCCATATCCAATTATTCAAGGGTGGATACTTTGCTGTGAGGGCTAAACTTTCACAAACTAATCCTCAAAATATTGAATACCATGCATAAGATAGCTGCTCTGCTGTTACTAACTCCAAGATGAAGCGTGTTTGTTGCATTCAAATTGCGATACAATTGTTTAAGGTGGTTCTCACGTTTAAAAAAAGTGTATTTTTAAACAAATTTTTATCTTCGTAAACTGGTGGTATAAGGTAAGTACATGAATGTTCATAATAAATACATTGTGACTGTAATGCACCAAAGAAAAATGTGAAGAGAAACAATTTTAGAATCCACGAAATCTTCCTTGATATCCGTTCTTTAGAACGCTGTACTGTACCTTGTGAATAGTTGTAAATAAAGCAAATGCTTCGCGTGCAAGGGGCATGGGAGAAACTGAAGGGTGTAAACTGCAGTGAACAGAGTCAGAGTGTAATCAGTAAAAACTTCATTAAACTGTTAGCCTGTCTTATTGTGATGTGCTGTTTCTATAGATAAGAAAAATAATTTTTACTCACCCTGTCCCCTTATACCCCTCATTCATTTTCTGAACTCCAAATTGCATTGATCATTCCATTCGTGGATTATGAACAATTGCATAGGAAGTTCAGTGATTTACCCATTTTGATGATGATTTATCGGAGGACAGACGCTTACATGACGCCACCAATTCCTGCGTTTTGCCCATTTGTTACCTTATTCATATTTAATTTCGCGTTTTTTGCTATTATGAAAAAACCGCAAAATTTTATACCCCCGAATACCAATGCACGCAGAATTTAAACGCGAGAGTTTTTACCCACATAGAAAATGCAAATCCCAGACAGAATATGAATGGACAAATACACAATTTATCAACTGGTTTTACTGGTAAGTTCGATTGTGTGCCTTGTGTATATGTCTCGTGTAATGCTAATCATCTTCATTTAAATCTCGAGACTCGTACAAATTCCTGAGAATATCTTTCGTGCAATTCTCCAAAAGGGCCTCGTTAACTGGGTTGTGGTAGTTCTCATTTACAAGTACCTAGAAACGTTCCAACACTTGTTCCAGTTTTTAAGAAACTTACTGAAAAATAAAATAAAGTCGAGAACGCTTGAATCGCAACATTTGATGCCCCATTTTCTAATTTGCCTATTGAAATTGCGAAAATATAACCCCGCGCAAGACGTCTAACGGGAATCGCGAAGTGAAGTACGAGTAAGGTATCTAACAACAAATAGATTCGATGTGCCGGGTGTCTTAACAATAATAAATCATTGTCAACTGTGGTAGGATCATCTGATACACTCCGCTGCGCTTCGTGTCCCACTTTTTGGTTCTTGCCGCATTTTGACGTCATTTATAATCTATTATTGACCGTACCCCTGGAAAAATGGAATCTATTTGATAACAATGTACAAAAATTAATGTATTTGACACACCACTGCCAAACATTTCACTCATGATGTAATTTAAGGAAAAAGACTCCTTTTTTCCCATATCGATGAAATACGAACCGTCAAGCGAGCTAACACGGAACGACAAATCTCAGGATTAATTGATATTAGTACGTGGCACTTCCGGGTCAAATATCTCGAATTGCTTGTTGAATTGGTCTTAGAATAACCCATCCTGCTAGATCCACGATACCAGAATGGACCAATCAGCGACAAGTGTTAAAAAAAATTGGACCCCTAAGAAATCGGTAAACGTGGACCGAGGTTCTCTCTCATTGTTTGGCAAGCTGGGTAAGGCTACTCCACTATATTTAAGATGTTTTTGGTCTCGCTGCTTCTTTTGTCTTCAGATAGACCACCATCAGACTGCCTCTTTGTAACCTGTAAATGCAAGGGTAGAATAGCGCCATACGTACTCGGTTAACTATCGACCATTGTTTTCTTTTTAAAACTTATGCCTGCGAAGATTGCGATTCTTTTTTCCCATAAAATATCAACGCAACAAACTGCAGCCGTTCGAGAAAATATAGTTCGCTTGTTAGAAGTAACTTGATAACCAAACCCTAATTTCGGATTCGTGGTGCCCAATTAATCCTAGAGATAAGCGTCATCTCTCCTTGATTTTTCTCTTCTCTTTGATGCAAACATGACCATGGATTTCTTCACTTTCCTCTATGCTCTACAAGATGTACCAAAGCCTTTACGTCGCTTTTCCCGCTGTTTTCTCGTATGTTACTAATCTGGAACTGATGTGATTTGTGTAGTGGTGACACCCTTGAAGCGTTTCTTATTCGTCCTTTCGATCCAATCGCTAGCAGCCATATCCTGTTCGAGTGGTTTTGAGTGGTGGGATACAGGTAGGAGCTAAAAGAGTAGAAGTGATTCTCTTCCTGAGCGTGCTTCAATAAAGTGTCTTCATTGGACGAGTTGGCCTGGAAAATAAAAGACATTTGCATCGCATCTGCTAACTGAAGACACATAACCCACGCAGACTTGAACAACATTGTGTGTTAATGCTACAGGTACTCTGATGAGCATCACAAGATTTAAACATTTTACGTTTTCAATGCCTTTGACAAAGGCATTGGGCGTGGGCGTGTCACCCAGCTCTCAACTAGGTACTGCTTTTATCATAACACAGACCAAAACTATGGTTTAAAAATAAAAACTTTAGTAACCGATTCAGGTCTTTCCTTTAGTTCGGTAACAAGAACGTGAACCCAACTAAGGATAAACAACCTTCACTGTTTAGAGGGAACTAATTAAACCCTGTTACAGTGTTCATAGTGATGAGCTGTTTTTCAATAATAGCTACTTACCGTGGAATAAATTTGCCCAAGATTGCCGATCGCGATGTATTTCATTGTTGTCAAACTTTTCAACTTTACAATGCCCGTCCCGTGAGACTGAATGCGAAACAGCCCTAAGATAAAAATAAAGAAGTCTACTGTTAGAATATCTACAAATGTACTGATTAGGTTGACATTCAAACTAGGAACATCCATGAAAATTTTCCGTCGTCAGGACAAGTCATTCAGTTAGTTGATTTATCATAATAAAAATTACAAAGGGCTCTCGATCTCAATAAAAACTACGGATTAGACTAGTTTCGCGCGCTAATATACATATATATATCTTATTAGACGTTTTGGTATGTAGTATCGCTGAGTATTGTTACGAGTTGTGCCGTGTTTTTTACGAACCCGTAAGGCGAGTCAAAATACGAACATAGAGTAAAAGTACTCAACGATACTACACACCAAAACGTCTTATAAGTTATTTGTTATCTAACTGCTCTATTTTATACATTATCTTACTTCTTATTAGGCGGAGAAAGCGAAGTAGATAGAGGAGCGAGGCACGTGCAGCTGAGCATTTAAACAGGTGTTTATACAGCAAAAAATAACCAACTGTCCAAAATCTGCGGTGTGATATTTGTACTTGATTCAAACGTTATTTATATTCATCTCTATCACATGAAAGTTCTAATTCAGCTTTGCTGAAAAACGTATTCTACTGGAACACCAAAACTGCCGGGTACGGACGCCTTATCCAGTGATAGTACCCCAGTTTCCAAGAAGGTCATAACCAGATTCCTCTGCTTCCCACCCACAGTAGGCGAACTCTTCCGCTTTGATTTAGCTTATTCCTTGGTCTTCGCTCCGCCCCTCGCCTCACCCCTCCCCTCCCCCAGTAAAAGTCAATCTGTGGGCTCTGTCTTAATTTGTAGATTGTTCATACCATATCTCGTTGTTAAAAACCTCTTCCAGCTGCCAGCTATTGTTCCGTTTTCAAACATGATCAAATAAAACCCTCTTTTGTTCACCAAGCGAACGTCCACCCATGTTGATGGTGGTTTAGATAATAAAGGCTTTCCGACGTCTGGAACTAAACCTTTTGGCGATGATGCAAGGACTGTTGGAGTTCTCGAATCATTCTGTGTTACCGATGGTTTTATTGTGCTCCTCACAGGTGTCTTCGTAGTTGCAATTAATGAGCGAAGAACTAACACGGAGACGAGGAGCTAAAATGGAAAAATGGTTTGAGCAATAGAGGACTTTTCCGTCATCATTTAGCGTGTTTAACTTCGTCTAAACACGAGGGGGTTGAATTAATTCGAGTTTGTGCAAACCCTCGACTGTGTCTGGTATTTTCACAAATTCTGTCAATTGTCTCAATCGGCCTGGTGCACATTCAGAGGAGGACATGTGCACACAGAAAGTCCTTAATTGCTTTCATACAGGGTTTCCCAAAAATATGTGTTAATCTAAAACGTCGCTTCCGTTTAGTTTCTCCTAACACACCTTCGCACACCTATCGACTTATAAGACCATGCTTAGTATCTCTGAACGACATCAAAAAGAAAAAGACATGACAAAACAAAACAAAATGCAAACTCTGAGCAAAAGTGAAGCAAAATGAAACAAAATGAAACAAAACGAAACAGTGTAGTCCAAGATTTGTATTCGTGACTTGTTTGTGTAGCACACAATATCAGTCCGATGTCAAGAACTGATCGTAAGAATTGATGGGTCAGGAAATTTAGGGACAAATACTTAACTTGGAGCGTAAGATGAAATGATCATTAGATAAATAAATAAATTAATAGGAAGAAATAGACGAAGGAAATAATGATGATAAAAAAGTAACAATAAAAGATCTTAAACGACTTTAAATTTGCTACGTTAACGATATGGGGGGGGGGGGGGG